GGCCTGCGCTCCCCGATCCCCCGCTGCCCTGCGCTTCCCCGTCCTCAGCGCGCCGAGCCCTGCCTGTGGGGCCCCCGGTCCGGGCCCTCCTCGGCGCTGAACGGTCATGGGCTCTTCCAGGCCATCGCGTGCTTGATGGACATGAACGCGCTGCTGGACCGATTCCACAACTACATCCTCCCGCACCTACGGGGCGAGGACCGCGTCTGCCACTGCAACTGTGGCCGGTGAGTCTGCGCCCGGAGGGGCACACGCGTGATCACACATGTGAGGCGAAGGTGGAGCCCACTGGGGCTCCCGCGAGCCCCGCGCAGGCCGCGCTGCAAGGCCGAGCTAGGCTAGGCTTGCGGAGACTGCCGAGGCTTGTGCCAGGCCGGGTGGGGGAAGGACTGTCCAGCCTCCAGCCCACACATAGGTGTTGGGAGGGGCATGCCTGCGTCAATCGGTCCCCCTCCCCAATTGCCTTTAGAGAAAGGGCTGGCGGGATGACGAGCAGAATGGGTCCTGGTCCAGGGCCTGGAGGCCAGGGGAGCAGCAGCCCAGCCTGTGTCCCGGGAGGGATCCTGCGCACGGCTGTGGCCACAGAGGACACCATCCTCCTCCCTGGGCCCTGAGCTGTGTCCGTGAACTTTCCCAGAAGCCAGGTAGAGGGAAGTACAGAAGGTCAAGGTGGGCAGGGCCTACCCTGAGTGGCATCGCGCCCAACCCCCTCCTTGAACTTGGGAGGAACTGAGGCAAGGAGGTGGAGCTTGCTCAAGGTCACACAGGAAGGGGAGAGCCGAGGCCCCTGCGCCCACTTTGTGACCCCTCATGCTGTGCACATGTAGTGATGGAGTCTTCCTGGCCATGCATGTTTGTATGTCCATGTATGAAATAAACATCTTCTCATGAGACGCGCATGTGTGTACCGTCTGTGCATATACATGTGCGCACACATAGCACCCCCGCACCCCGGCAGGACGCCCGCACGCTGGGACCTTGAGAAAGAGTGAGAGCTTGAGCAGACAGACTTGCCCAAGGCCACACAGCTGGTAGGGCCTAGGGGCTCGAGCTTGCCTTCTTGACCCTGCCCCGTGCTCTGGCTCCAGGGACGTGTGTGCACACGGAAGGGGGGTGTAAGTGTGAGAGAGGACGGTTCCAGGCCTCACAAGCATGCAGCATCCCTGTGTGTGCAGACTGAGTGTCGAAGCCCAACACGGGCCATCAGGGCAGGTGGAGACGCGTGTAAACGACCCTCCCGGGTGCTGGCCAGGAGTCATCCAGGGAGTTTGCTGGTGGCCACTCTCCAGAGACCCGTGTCCCTGCCTGGGGCGCATGGCCCAGGGTGAAGGAGCCACACGATGCCAGCTGCGCTGCTTCCTGGGC